GATGGAAAAAAACCTTTAGAGCTGGTTAACTTGAAGGCTGTGTTGTCATATTTATTAGGCCACGGATACCCTAATAACATACACCACAAAAATGAGAAATCCAATTTTAGAAGACAGGCAAAATCGTTTTATGTTGAAAATGATACTCTTTATCATAGAAAACATAATGCCCGTGTAATATTTGATGATGAAGAACGGGTTAATATACTGAAAATGGTTCATGAAGGTTCCCCTGAGTCTGAGGAAGCAGTTGCACTTTCTAGTCATCGTGGTAGGGATGCAACACTACATATACTGAACCAACGGTATTATTTGCCTTCGATGACTTTAGATACAAAGAATGTAATATTTGTCAACGTGTGAATCCAGCTACACTAAAAGTGGTACCCGAACTACACCCAGTTCCTGTACCAAAAATGGTATATTGCTTTTAACTAATTATTAAAATTTTAAACTAATTAGTAATTACTTAATAAAATATAATATTATTTAGGTTTTCAAGCAAATTGGCATAGACCTTATTACATTGCCAGAAGTTGGTGGATATCGTTATGCAGCAGTTGCTATTGATTACTTTAGTAAATGGTGTGAGGTGCGGCCATTATCCGATAAAAAAGCAACTACCATAGCTCATTTTATTTATGATGAAATAATTTGTCGGCATGGCTGCCCAAAAATTGAAATTAGCGACCAGGGTCGGGAATTTTGCAACAATTTATGTGATGAATTGTTCAAATTAACTGGAACTGTACATAAAGTAACTTCACCGTACCATCCACAAGCAAATGGTCTTGTTGAACGATTCAATCGCACAATTAAAAGTTCTTTGCTCAAAGTATGTTAACTTTTTTAGTATGATAAATATTAAATAATATATATAAAACTACAATAATCCCAATTTTAGATACACAATGAAAATAAAATTGAATGGCCTAACGTGTTGCAAGGTGTTCTCTTTGCATACCGTTCAGTGCCACATACCTCAACAAAATATTCTCCATTTTTTGTACTATACCAAAGGGAGCCAGTACTTCCAGTTGACTTAAAATATTCCTTAAATGAAGATGAAAATATAATAGATGAAAATGTTTTCACTGGAGAATTTAATGAGGACAAGTTTGAAGAAACTTTGCAGTGTATGCTATCAATGAGAGGTACATCATATTTATATTATTTTATTTCATTACAACTTAATTAATATTTTGATATTAGATAGAAATTAATATAATATAAAAGTATAATAGTACTCTCCTCCCCCTATATTATTTATTTATGTTAATTTATTATTAAAACAATTATGGAGGTCCGTTACAAAATAGATTTGTTAAATATAATCGTTACTCGTTAGAAGTTTGATTATAAATTAAAATATTAAGTCTGCTGTTGCTTATATTTTCTAAAATGTACATATCTTAGATGGTATAAGTCAGTTATGGTTTTAACATGAGTTGGTTGTTGGTACCTTTCAGGGGGTATTTTTAAATTGTCTCTCTTTTTTATATTACAAGTATCATAAAAGCCAAAAAACTAAAACAAAAAAAAAAAAAAAAAATTGGAATAACTTAAACAATTTTTGAGAGATTATTAAAACGTAATACTCCCAATTTCAATTAATTAATCCTAATTTTCCCAACACACAATGTAATCCAAAATTATGGTGACATAAAAGTTATTTAATAATTTGATGATGTAGGTACACAATTAATATTTAACTTTTTCAATGTATAGAAAAAATTCAAGACAATGTGTCTGAAAACATCCATCATGCACAGAGCTTACAAAAAATATCTTACGCCAAAAGACACCCTCTTGCGGATAGTGTTTTTAAAATTGGAGATAAGGTTTTACTAAAAAATCTGAGACGTGATGACCGAAAAGGAGGATGGGCTCTAATGCCATGGATTGATCCCTATACAATACACAAAATTATCAACAATAATTCATGTATCAATATACAAAAAACATACCAAAAATGGTGATAAAATATTGAAAACGAAACAATTACTTAAAAACATACAAAAATATCTGGAACGAAAACCAACAAATAGTACTTTGGAAACAAGTATTGACATAGAGTGTGTACAGACTTTATAAATCCAGGACCAAAAAATATATTTTAACCCAGTTGGGAAACACTGGCAACAGGCTAAGTGTAGGGCACTTAAACTTGATTTTAAACAATGTTTGGAGACCAATTTGAAAATCAAAACGTTGAATCATCCTTGTGCGATACAAAAGATTATTGGCGATGGAAATTGTCTTTTCAGAGCTTTTTCATACGCTGTAACTGGTAATGAAGAACAGCATCTAATCATCAGGCAAAACATAGCCACTGTAATATAAAAAGCTAATGATTAACAATGATTTAACTATTAATAATAACTTAATAATAACGCTTATTAATTATTATATTTTTTTCTACCCTTGTTTTTTGATTATTTTATTAGAAGGAACTTATTTTATTTTATTTACAAGTATGTCAGTTATAATTTTGTTGTTTTGTTGTACTTTTATTGTTATAGTTTATAGTAACCTATAGTTCAAGTTTGAAATATTTTTTTTGATTATTTTATTAGAAGGAACTTATTTTATTTTATTTACAAGTATGTCAGTTATAATTTTGTTGTTTTGTTCTACTTTTTTTTTATCAATATATATCTTAAATAATAATAGTTAGGTACCTTAATTTCATCTTTTAATTCTTGTACTAATGCTCTGCAAACTTCTTGAACACATATTGACACCACTTGTGGAGAGAATTTAAACATGTACGATAAACCAACAAAACTGCCTCCAGAAGCTAAAAATCTCAATGTAACAGCTAATTTTTCTTGGATAGGGATACATTTTCGCATATTGGTGTCCATTTTTGATATTGATGGTCCAATTTTATTTAGCAAATATTCAAAATCTTCATGCGACATTCTGCAAAAATTTTCAAATTTTTTTGAAAAGTTCATAGTCAAATCAACCAGCATATTTGTTGCATTGTACCTGAAAATTTAAACGTAATAGTTTATTAATTTAAAAATACATACTCGTATTTTAAAATATTGAAACTGAAATTATTATAAACATTGTATTTACTTATTTCGACTTTTGTAATATTCATTGACCCAATATCGTCTTCTTTTTCTTGTCAGCTTATCTTTTTTATCATTATTTTTTAAAAGTTCACCACTTGCCATAATATAATATGCTGCAGCACAAATAGCAAGTTTTAAAGGGTTCGTTTCCATGTTTAAATAATTATTATTAAAAAATGCACTATAACCAACGTAATGTCTACACTTCATGCACTACAGAAGTAAAATGATCGAGAACAAAAATTCCACGCCACGCCGCGCCGCGCGACAATCTTCCACGCCGTGGGATCGTGTAGGACGCGCCAAGACAGGCGCGCGTGGTACATGACGAATCACGCGCCACGCGCCATGGGAGCCCGGCTTTGGTTATTGACTGGGCCCATAACCTGTCGAAAGTGAAGCTTAACGGATTAATGATTTTAGTATTAATATAATAAGTAATAACACGACAATATGATTATGTATAAGTATAATATATTAATATATAATAACGTGCAACTGGACAATTAAACTGTGACTGCACACACAAACACACCGTATATGCACTGTACGACGGCGCCGGTGCAAGTGAGTATTACATACATCAAAGGCCCTATTTATATGAACAATTGAGGTCATCCCGTATTCGTATTAAGTATAGAAAGCTATAGTAAAGGTGTTTCAAAGCTATATCGTAACTGCATACGTATCTATTACAAAACGACATTGTACACGTACATGTATTTACATGGTTTGAACACTAATATTAATTGTACCTATATTTCAACAATTATGAATTTCCTGAGAACAAGGTAGTGTTTTTTTTATCAATCGCATATTATCTAAACATTAATCCAACACATACAATAACGGCTCCACGTAGACCAATCACTTTGCATAGCCTCCCAATTATGACGTCATTGCGCGAGAAGAAGAACTAGGTGCTTGCTCAAATTATTCTATAATTTCGACCACGACGACAATGACTACCCTCCTCTCTGTACCATTACTTTTGCTGCATCTGCGTACTAAGCTTCGGCCAATGCCCCAAAGGGGAGGCCGCTGTAAACTGCGATATAAATGAAATATTCCATAATACAACTACAGAAAGATCTAAAGAAATACAAAAACTTAAAAATAAACTAGATCAACTAATTGAAGATGGTTTGTGGGAGCCTTGTGAAGTGGTACCTCAAGTAGAAAATAATTGTGAATCCAGTATCATAAAGGACTGTATTATTAACTATGTTTGTGGGTACGTAACTAAACAGATACTTAAAAAGAATTTGCACTGAATGTTTAAGCTTTTTAAGAAGTAGAAACACTAGTAGTACTGTTGTGTGTTCATCACAGCTAGTCGTGGTATTATTTTCGCTCTCTTATCTGTGCAATCACCGGTCAATGTTCAATAGCGTTATAGTGTTTAATTATTTATACTTTTATCTGTATATTTTACGGTTAATGTTCTATAGTGTTACAGTGTGATTAAATAATGTTGTGCTTACTATGTAATGATGAAATTTATCAAGGCGACGAGTTAAAATTGTAACAAGACAGAATAAGTCGTACTACCTGCGCCATCCAGTGGACGCTACTAGTACTATCTAAGTTGGTACCGTTATCGAACAAACTATGACTTTTCGACACTTGACGCATCAATACTTTAACAACCGATCGCGTAAAGTGTTGTAATAGGTATTATTTACCTGTACTATACTATTCTCAACACTACGACATTAATTACATTCTAAAACAAGTAAAAAGGCGATTTAACACTAGTCGTACGTACGCCGCACAGAGCGCGCGACGATGCACGCGCTTTGAGACGGGATTACTGAGTTCAACTTTCTGCATCGGGGAAGATCATATTCACATTACCGATACAAGAAATGAATAAAGGATGAAAAGCTACTTCGATTATCCCCTAGCCGCCCATCACAATATCACACGCATCATATAAGAAAACAGTAAAACATGGTCGACGCAAACCGGCATATCAATCAACGCACAGCCAAGTCGAACCACAGATATACCGGTCAGATTCCCAGCATATGCCATCAGTCGAACCAGTCTCCACATGCGGTATAGTAACGTCTCTTTCTTTTCATACGATACGTATCGTCTTGTGTAACGTCGAGTAACTCCTCCCGTACCCCTCTCCGTACCTTGACAGTGTGGGTAGTAATACGTCTTCGTACGTATTGACAAGCTACTCACACCTAAAGCGCCGGAGAGGCCGAGAGGGTCTACCACAACACCCTCTGTGCCGGATCGGTAGTAATACGTTATCATACGTATTGACAAGATACCGATTCTTATCAGCAGCGGTTCGTTGAAAGTGATAACGCGCCGAACTTCACTATCACTTGTGCGCATTGCCGTCGGATCGAATACCGCCGCTATCTCATAGATAATATAAGAATGGATAGGACATGCCTATACCAGTTCCATATGAGGCCGTGTGCTTTTTTGGGGAAGAGAGAACGTAAAGAGAGAAAGACTATATGAGGCTTTTTAAGGTTATGTGCAAAACTATTTTATTAAATAATAATAAAAATAACATGATAGTCAGTTATATTTAGATATTTGTCAGTTTGTATTTTGATTGTTGTGCCACCTGTGCCTGGAAAATGGAAATTGGAAAATAATATTTTAACAAAATGAAATTATATAAATTTTATTTATTATTATTTATCAATTATCATATCAATATTTGCCTTATATAACCTTAAAAATAGTATCACTAAATTTTCATGTGATAAGCTCTTATGCCCTATCCATTCTTATATTATCTATGCGCTATCTTATTGCCGTCGCGTTAAACGTCGCCACCATAATTTCGGGTCAGAGCGCGCAGTAAACTTGCCGCCGCCGTTAATAAATACCGCCGCCGGTTCATTTTCCGTACAACTTTTATTTTTATACCGTCGCCGTATATTAAACAATAAACGTATATCTGTCGTTAAACATTACTATTATAATTTATAAATCTTATTGTGTGCCACCACCAATACAATCACGCCGCCACAGAGGGACGTATTAATCTGGAAGTGCTGCGTATACCCAGGACGAATCAACGCTCAGTAAACACGCCCAGCATACGCCACCAGTCGGATCAGTTATCCTGATCCAAAACCGTCTATTGACAATCCATCAAACCCACGGTATACACGTGAGTCAGAATTATATAATTATAACATTTGTAGCTCGACGAGCAACTATAAAATAAAAGAATATATTGTATCTAAAATCATTATACTCTATCTATTATCGCTGTGGCTTGAATAAGCATAAATATTAAACTTATAAAAGAAAATATTGTATGCGAATACCACAAAAATATTATAAATTCATGTAATAATAAAAACACATCATATATTTCATAAAAGCAAATACGTGTGTTTTTCATCGTTACATAATGTACTGCCTGTAAAGAATTTTTACATTTTTCTTGCGCCAGCCTCAGAGAAGAATCCTTTCGAAAAATGGGGAAAGCAACGAAGGATAATTGGTGTTGTGTTAACTGCAAATCTCCAACGGTTTGTAACACAGCTCTTAATAAGAATGTCAACTCTAGTGATGAGTCAAATGAACCCCTTACTTGCTTAACCGAATCGGGGAAGTTTATGAGTGCTCAATTTGATAGTTTCTCTAAACAGTTAAGTGAGGTCCTTAACACAATTAAAGAGCTAAAAGAAGATAATAAGGGTGGGTTGCATAAACGTTCATTAGCGATTTACAGAGCCGTTAACGCACTAACGATCCGTTAAAAAAAATTGGGTGTTGCTTGAACGACTGTTAACGTTAACGGGTCTGTAAATTATCGGCTATTGGACCTGTAAACTACAGGTCCGATTTTGGTTCGTTAACTTTTAACGATCCGTTAAATATGGTGATAAGAAATATAAAAATTTCTTATCAGCCACATTTTTTTTTATTAGTATTAATAATATAATCAGCAATCATTGTAATCAAATTAAATGTGGTATAATTTATTTGGTAGTTATGGTTATCAATAAAATACAAAATAATAATAATCTTTTATGAAACTCATTTTTTTTTTTTACAATCCGTTAACGAGTTAACGAGTGATTAAGTTACAGGTCCGTGAAAACATTTACAGACTGGTCTTTATGCAACCGGCCCTAAGTGTTTAATAATGGAAAACAGTAAAATAAATAACATCGTAAAAATATTGTCAAGGAAGGTCAATTTATTGGAGCAAAAGGCTGTGAGCAATAATTTGGAAATTATCGGAGTACCTGAATCGCCTAATGAAAGTTGTGTGGAAATTGTTAAGAACATTGCGGACAAGTTGGGAGTAAATTTATCAGTAAATAAAGCCTACTGTATGTATTCTAAGTTTTTAAATAAACCTAAGAAAATTATTGCTGTATTAGACTCGGTCGATAATAAAAATAAAATAATGGAGAACATGAAAATTAAAAAATTAAATGCTAATAATTTTAATATCAATTGGGGAAACGGTAAAATCTTTATTAATCATGAACTTTCACCTTATAATAGGGATCTATTTTATAAAGTTAGAATATTTGCTAAAAATAATGATTTTAAATTTACGTGGTAAGTACAATGACTTTAAAATATTTATAAAAAAAAATGAAATTTGTAAAGCAAATATTATATTTGATGAAACTGATCTGACAAAGCTTCAGTAAAATCATCATTCAAGTTGTAAAATAAATTTTGATAAATAACATTCTTATCATGAATGACTTTAATGTATTAAATAATTATTTAGATTATATAACAAAATATTTTGATTCCTTTTCTGAATTTGTAAAAACGCATAAATATGTTAATGGTAAGTTTATAAGTGTCTTCTGTAATAATATTAGGAGCATTAATGCTCATTTTAATGAATTTTTATTGTTTCTTAACAGTGATACTAACTGCTGTAAATTAGATGTAATAATAAAGTTTTAGTCATACGATTTAGTCACTACCGTGACTAAAACTCATCATTCAGTCAAACATTTAGTCATGACGAACAATTAGCGATTCTCTATGAATCTATGACTAAAAATGATATTTTAGCCCGACTGAAAGTGGTGACTAAAAGTCACTAATCATTTGGCCCCTATTAGAGGGCGCCAATTGTGATTTAGTCGACTAAAATTGTAAATCATATGTTTATTTATTAATTATTTTCTCGTTTTGATTGTCGTTTCATATTTGATACAGTTAACACTTTTCTTCGTTTGTTAAGCTTTAGTTTATTAATTTTTTTCCGTTTTGCGTTTAAATTGGTTATGGCATTATTAGGTCACATTTTAATTGCTGAAGTTTAAAGTTTAAGAATTTAACTGAAGTTTCAGTACCAATTATTGATAAAATTAGTTGATGACGGTCATTGGGTTCAGGGGGTTTATTAGAAGATGAATTCCCAGTCTGGCTCAAATACTTATTCCAAGCACTATTAACTTTACGAGCCATACATTTTTCATTACGCCAACACTGGAAATAATAAAATGTAGGTTGCAATTGGTAAAATGCAGGTATTTACTATTTTCTATTATTTTTGAACTTCAAATATTCTAATGCTTCATAGGTCTCGCTACACGTTCAGCATATAAGTGTGAAAGACACATAATAAAGAAAAACATTCAAGATAGATAATTACTTTACATTAAGTAATGCTAGTATATGGTAAAATATTTTAATTATACTAATATCTACTTGTAATATTGTAGTCATAATAAATAATGTAAAAATAAAAACATGATTATTTTATTGTTGAATATAAACATGGGTGAAGTTGGGTGGCCAAAAATAGGTGAATATTATAATATAATATTATTATTTTTAGCTAACTATATTAAAAAATTAATCAAGAAAATAAATAGTTGTTAGCAATTGCCAATTGGTAATGACTAATGATAAATACTAAACATACTATACCTACTTAGATATTATAAAAAACAGGATATAGTATAGGAATTTAATATTACTTTTTTCCACTGCTCTACTGTCTTAGGAGGTCCCATTTCATTGAGATTGTCCGCTAATTCTGCCCACTCGACGTCCATTTGCCTTTTTCCATTATGAGGATCTTTGAATTTTCCTGCGGCAAATTTTGGTTCATTACTCATGTAATTAATGAGTGCAGCTATCTGATCGGACCCTCTTTTTTTCTTTTTGTCCACGCTTACAAATGAAAACAAATTCAAATTATAGAAAGTTATATTGGTATAGTTACTAATTTCTGAACATTAACTGTGAAAACTACTATATTATATCATAATAAACTTACTTTTTTGAAGACATACTTTATTTTTGAATATCCTCACAAAACAAAACAAAACTAAAACAACAACACAAATGGCTCTAAGCCTTTAATAATTAAAATCAAATACTGTATAAAATATAAATATTATATTAATTATAAATATAAAATATCATAATCATTTAGTACCTACTGTCCTACTATATAGAAAGGCAATACGGCATTATCAGCACTCGGCATTTCAATTTTCAAGATAATTATGCTTACAATTTATTATCTATTATAATAATTACGGTTAATTATATTGGCCACATTGTAAAATATACAATAATACCGTATTCTAATTAAGTCATTTAATATTTTAGTCACTTGTACACTTTTAGTCTTTGAATATTAAGTCGTCTAAGTTATCAGCTTACGGAATCGGAAAAATAAAAAGACGCCAAATGTTGGGTGACTTAAAAATGCCATGACTGAATAAATTTTAGTTTTAGTCATGGTATAGAGAATCGCCCTGCTGGCATAATGTAGAATACTGTAATTTTAATATTCCTGGATATAGACTGTCTTTCTCGAGTATTAAAAGAAACCAAAATGATGGTATAATTGTATTTATCAGAACACAATTATGTATAGAAATTAGTTGAATACAAACATACAGTGGCTAATCTTATGAAACTAAATTTTATAATAAATAATACTCCATTTACCATTTTATGTGTATACAGGTCCCCCTCAAGTGACATCAATGAATTTTTGCCCATCTTTGCCAATCATTCTAAAAGACGAAATAAATAATAAAGGCTATCAAATTATAATTGGTGATATGAATATAAACATTGTGGGTCCGAATTTCACTAATAACGAATATCTTGATAAGATATGAATCATTTATTAATGTGTTTACTAGAACACCGCTAGGTAGCAAACATTCTTGTTTAGACCATAGTTTTGTCAAAAGTAATAATAACATAAACGTTAACGGTAAAATTGAGGCTGGTGTGATTCAAACTAGTATTACGGACCACTTCTCAACAGTTATAGGTATTCAAATACATAACCAGAATCAACAAAAAAGTAAAAACGTATATAAGACAATAAATTACTGCGATCTGAATGAAATATTAAA